TTTTTAAGTATTGGAATAATCTGTTGAGGGTTACAGGTACCTTCCTGAAAGTTAGGAGGTCTGGAGAGCATAGTTCTGGGCCAAACATGTATCTGAACAAACAACAGACCAGGCACATGTGACTGTAATTCTGACAGATTTTCGTTTTTTGAGGGTTTTTTAAAAGAAAGCAACAGAAACTCAAAAACGACAAGTTGGTCCTTCGTCCTCTCCATTTTCAAGCAAACAGCCAGTGTTATCTACCTTCTTGAGGATGCCTCCAGTGTGCCCTGGAGGGTCAGACTTGATTCTGTATTTGCAACAAACATAGACACATAGCAGCTGGTGGGAGGTGTCTGAATGGGAAACAGAAGCAGCTAATATTTTATTTTATTTATTTTTTATTTTATTTATTTTTTATTTTATTTATTTTTTATTTATTTTTTTTTGGCTGCGTTGGGTCTTCATTGCTGCCCGTGGGCTTTCTCTAGTTGCGGCGAGCGAGGCCTACTCTTTGTTGCGGTGCGCGGGTTACTCATCGTGGTGGCTTCTCTTGTTGTGGAGCACAGGCTCTAGGTGTGTGGGCTTCAGTAGTTGTAGCACACGGGCTCAGTAGTTGTAGCTCGCGGGTGCTAGAGCACAGGCTCAGTAGTCGTGGTGCACGGGCTTAGTTGCTCCGTGGCACGTGGGATCTTCTCGGACCAGCACTCGAACCCGTGTCCCCTGCATTGGCAGGCGGATTCTTAACCACTGCGCCACCAGGGAAGCCCGCAGCTAATATTTTAAATCAGGATGAAGGCTTATGATTTCAGGACTTACTTTTTATAGAAAGAAATGTATGGATCAGTGCTTTTTTTTTTTTTTGCGGTACGCGGGCCTCTCACTGTTGTGGCCTCTCCCGTTGCGGAGCACAGGCTCTGGACGCGCAGGCTCAGCGGCCATGGCTCACGGGCCCAGCCGCTCCGCGGCATGTGGGATCTTCCCGGACCGGGGCACGAACCCGTGTCCCCTGCATCGGCAGGCGGACTCTCAACCACTGCGCCACCAGGGAAGCCCTGGATCAGTGCTTTTAATGATGGGGATTTTGAGGTGCTTGTTGGGGACGGCAGTTCAGTGTGACATCATGGAGGGAGCAGGGGTCCCAGCATGTTCTTTCAGGGCCACCTCCATACGCTTTACTATGTCATTTGTAAAGTGGGAGTAAGATGCCCTGCCTTCTCCGGGCTGCTACAGCAAGCAGGTGAGCTGTGATGTGATAAGCTCTCTCCCAGCTACCTGTAAGTGTGGGTGTGATGTGGTCACAGCATTTGTCCTCTGGAGTCACTGACACCTCTTTGAAGCCTCACGAGAACTCTTTGAAATCCTTGCTCCCGTTATAGAGATGAGGAAACAGAGGCCTAGAGAAAAAAGTTGCTCTAGATCACACACTAGTAAATAACAGGACTGGGATGAGAATTCAGGTCTGATTCCAAAACATTCTGGAACAATTGGATATGTGGTTTTTCACTGTTCCCTAAAACAGTTACTTGCTTCTCTGTGGCTCGTGGGCCAGCCAACAGCTCCAGGCTCTGTCTGAATAATTGTAAGTCAATTCTTAGGGCAGCAAGCCTTCATTATCCCTGGGGGACAGAAGGCTGCATCTTCCAGGAATTTGGCAAACCCCAGCAGGAGGCAACCACAGGTCTTTGGCAAAAGATCACTTTTCAACAACACTGTCAGTTCCAGCGACCCCCAACCTTCCACCTGTAGGTCCCTGGACAGCTGATGTTCTGTGGGAAGCCTGTCTTCCTTTAAAAGGCAAATGCTTATCCCCCCTCCCCCCCTGCTGAGATCCCACCTGGGATCTCATCCCCAGAGCAGGTGTTGGGGGGGGGGGTCATCTCCCACATCCAGAAATTAAGAAAAACAGGGGATGGGGGAAGGACAGCTTTGACAGCGGACCTGAACTCTCCCTTTTAATATAAGCCAGATTGAACATATGTCATTCTGTAAATCCGGGAGTCCAATTTGAGGCTTGTAATTTGCTGCAACCTTCCCTGTTCCTCAAAGCGAGGTGGATGGAACCCTGCCAAGCACTTGAAGGTAAACGGTGGAGGACATGATTGGCCCACTGTGAGCCTGCCTTTCGGTTCCCTATTGTAATTTTTATTTGTGTTGAGTTTTTGTGGTTTAAAAAAAATCGACTAGATTTATTTTAAAATTAAGGCAAACCAACATCAAAGGCAGTAAGAGGAGAGGGTGAGGTATTATGAAGAAACCCCATGTAATCTTTTATAGCCGTATTGTTTTTCAGGGCACGTATCAGTAAGTGGTGAGGGACCTTTCGTGACCAACTTGCTCTATTTCTCTGACCTCAAACTACCCCCATGGGTGAAAATCTCTTTCCGCCGAGATTTAGAAGCCCCCTCTCTCCACCTCCTCTTCTGTCTCTTAATCTAATCCTGTTTGTAAGGCGACACGCTGTGTGAAGAATAAGAAGCATGGGCTTAAGTCCCTTCCTACTGCCCAGGCCCCTGAGATACAAGAGTCAGATTTGGCCCATGGTGCAATTTTAGATATGAAGAACGCTTTCAGGCCAAAAATGGGACCATTTGGTTCATGAGGTGTCTACTTGGTAAGGAGACGAAAGTTAATGTTGAAAGCTTCTCTTACAAAGAATAGCAAGTGATATCTGAAAGTTTGTTTTTTAATGCCATGAGATTTTTTTCAACCCATATCCTTATATAGAATACATTTTTTTATTGGCTCATGTAGGAAACTCAGGTACGGCTTCGTTCTGGGCACTTTAAAGTGATAGATAGATAGATAGATAGATAGATAGATAGATAGATAGACAGACAGATTTGTTGTTCCTCAAAACAACTTTTTATTAGTGATGCTCTTATCCCCATTTACAGGTGAGCAAATCGAGCTGCAGGTGCTTTTCCCACCCTACAAATCTGTCTCCTTAAAGGGGAGTTAACTTACACTTCTGAGTGTAACTTGTACACTTTTAGGGACAGTGTCTCCTGTGCTCTGTGTTATATTGGCATTTGAGCTGTGGCATTTCTGCTGGTTAACCCGCATCCTTACAGATCATCAGGGTAACTTTTTACACCAGGAAGACCAATGGTACCAAAACAGCATTTTCAAACATTAAAAGAGAGGTGCTGCAAATGCACTGGCAGAAGAAAATGTATAGTCACAGGTGGCATTTATAGAGCCCTGTGTTCATGGAAACACCCCTGTGTACAATCATGCATCTCAGAAACTCCAAGTTCCCCCATGCGAAATTCCCTCCATGACGGAACCACTGGAACACGGTCGAGGCTCCTGGACTCACCAGGCTCACAGCGACTGATTGTTTCTCTAGTTTTATAATAAATGATGCCACAGGGTCACCTTCAGTCGTCATTATCCGCCATCTTTCACTGATAGGATCCTCCCCAGAACAGAGACTGGTAATCAAATTTCTCGATCAACATAGACTGTTGCTTATCCTGTGAGACTGGCTCTTTGCACAGTTGTGGTTCATATGAAGAGCAATCTCAGATGCAGGAAACTCCCCTCGTTCTACTTTCTTTTCATTTTTTTAAAGCGAATGGGCTTTGGAACCAAGTCCTGGTTCTATTACCCGCTAATTTTATTAACCTGAGAAAGTTATTTATCTTTGCTAAGCCTTATTTTTCTCGGCTGTAAAGTAGGAATGATAAACCTATATCCCAGAAGAGCTGAGCTAATTAAATGAATCGATGTGAATAAAACACTTAGCACGATACCTGACACGTGGTAAATACTCGCTAAGTTTTTAATATTAAACAACGCTTATATGCTTATCAGCTAAGGAAAAGGTTCAAGTACGTTATAGTCTGGCGGAGAGGTCAAATGAAAAACAAACATTTCTCACTGTGAGAATTGTTCTAGCATAGATATGTTCTTTGGGAGTGTGAGGTAGCAACATTCAATGGTCCAGGGAGTTGGGGAATATTTCAAAGAGAAGGTGACATGCTTTGTGCGGCCCCAAAGGAAAGTATGGACACCTCTTGAATCTCTGCAATAGATTAAATATAGGCTTGAACCACCTGTCCTAGAACAACAGAACCCACTTCCCTATAGTTAACAAAAACTTATGCCCTGCACCTATATTGATTTGTCTATAATGAATAGCTCTATTGGTAAGCATGTATATTGCCGTAGACTTGGTTATAATTCCAGCAAATCCAATTAAATTAATGGTATCTTGGGCTTCCCTGGTGGCGCAGTGGTTGAGAGTCCACCTGCCGATGCAGGGGACGCAGGTCCGTGCCCCGGTCCGGGAAGATCCCACATGCCGCGGAGCAGCTGGGCCCGTGAGCCATGGCCGCTGAGCCTGCGTGTCCGGAGCCTGTGCTCTGCAACGGGAGAGGCCACAACAGTGAGAGGCCCGCGTACCACAAAAATAATAATAATAATAATAAATTTTTTAATTAATTAATTAATGGTATCTATATACAAGGTTAGGAATGAGAAAATTCATAAAGACTAGATATATAAGTAATCCATAAAATACCCTAGTAAATTCAAGAGAAGAAAATGTATTGAAAGTTTGATTCCTCATCATTGCACATAATGTATTAGTGACTTAATTTCATAGCCTAATTAGCAATAAAATTTTTCGAGTTAATATCACCATGAGAACATTCTCTTCTACATTTCTGAGTTTTATCTGTAGATTTGTAACATGACCACAATCATGTTGACGTGTTTTTACACATTTTAGTCAAAGGACCCAAAGGAACTTGCACTAATTAGATTTTTAGCTGCCAGTCTTGGTCTTCTAAGTTTGAATCCATATACCTTCAGAGGGCTTGTGCTGTTTGGGGTGGTGCGGACTTCAGATCTCTATATAAACACAGAGAGATGTATGGGAGAAAAAAATACTTTAGCAGTGTCTAAATTATCTTTCCTAAATTGTTATTGTTATTTCACAGCCTTTAACTTGAGATATGTCTCTAAATGGCTAAAAAGCGTATATAGTAAGACTCCTTTCTGGATATTTGCAGAACTCCTAGTTATAACTATGCACCAAATATGGACAAACACTGGATAATGCAGTACACGGGACCCATGCTGCCCATCCACATGGAATTTACAAACGTTCTACATCGCAAACGGCTTCAGACTTTGATGTCAGTGGATGATTCTGTGGAAAGGGTAAGCACACGAACTTGCCTCAGTGACAGGTTTTGGTCCAGCTCCCCTTACGTAGACCCATTCTTGCCAATCCTGTTTTTGTAGTTGTTGTTGTCGTTTTTCATTTTAAGAGAGAGAGTGTGTGTGTATTCAGTTAATTTATCATTGCTCCCTTATCTCGTCCCCTTTCTATTACCTCTCCATGCTTGGTTCTTGTGGAGCCAGTAGCAGAGAGGAGATGCAAATCAAGACATCATAAATCAAGGGCTATAGCCGCAAATACCTTCAGGAATTAAGCAAATAATGTAAGTAGCTAACTCAGATCCAGTATAAGGCAATAGGGAATGGTGGGGCTTGTGGTGAACTTGAAACTAAGTGCCCCCATCTAAAGCAAGGAGCAACTACTCAACTTCAACTAATTTTTGTTGTGTAAGAATGTGGATCCAGTATCAAGTCCTCTGACTTCTGAAAGAAGCCAGAAATACAAATATTTTATTTGAACTTTCCTGCATTTTAAAACATAAGCCAAACAAGACATGCCTGAAGGCTGGATCTAGCTGGATCAGGCTCAGAAATAGCCTGTTTTTAACCCTTGATAACTAGATATGAGTGATGATAGTCAAATTTGCTTTTAAATGGAGTTTTCAAAGTAAAACCTTAAAGTTTGGTGGTGGAGGTTGTTTTGTGGGGTTTTTTTTTTCCAAATAGGCAAACTAAACCTTTAAATAAAACGTACCAGACTCACAAAAGTTACATATTATACAAAATCAACCGTGTTATTAGACTTTTTCCCTCCAGGATTGCAGGCAACTGGAAAATGTGGGTAATGTACATGTTTGTCGGCCTTATTAAAGCAACTCTTGCCTTCTAAAAATAATGGAAAAAAGGTTTGGGTGAAATCATGGCAGCACTGTTGTCACCTTACGCCATCACAATTGCTTCTGACTGGTGTCTGTGCTGTGTTTCAGCTGCATAATATGCTTGTGGAAACGGGGGAGCTGGAGAACACTTACATCATCTACACTGCCGACCACGGTTACCATATCGGGCAGTTTGGACTGGTCAAGGGGAAATCCATGCCATATGACTTTGATATCCGTGTGCCTTTCTTTATTCGTGGTCCAAGTGTAGAACCAGGATCGATGTACGTATTTCTCTGTTTCCAACATTCAGCTGTCATAGCTCGTGTACGTCTGAGATAATTCAATTACCAATCTCAGGCTCTGGTTTCCTTTCATCCAAACAAAAAGGGTGCATGTAGATTGGTAATTCAGAAGACAAAAACCTCCTCCCTGCTCCACCCCTCCCCCACTTCTGCCACATGTTAAATTAACTAAAGTATACTCTTTCAAGAGAAAGGAAAAATAACTGTATCAGTGATTCATTCTCTCAAATTTACCAGAATGCATGAGGCTGTGTGCACAGACACAGAATGCGATCTTTAGGAACATTATCCTTACCTTCTTTGAATCTTTTTTAAAAAATAACCAGTCCTTCCTCTTGTTTTGTTTTGTTTTTTTTGTTTTTTTTTGCGGTATGCAGGCCTCTCACTGCTGTGGCCTCTCCCGTTGCGGAGCACAGGCTCCGGACGCGCAGGCTCAGCGGCCATGGCTCACGGGCCCAGCCGCCCTGCGGCATGTGGGATCTTCCCGGACCAGGGCACGAACCCCGTCCCCTACATCGGCAGGCGGACTCTAAACCACTGCGCCACCAGGGAAGCCCTTGTTTTTTATTTTTTAATTATTACTAAAGAATTTTTTAAAGAAAATTAAATTTTAAGAACTTTAAATAAAGTTTAAATAAATTTTAAGAAAAGAAGCCTGGAGGACTGGAATTCCATTTCTGTCACCTTAAGCAAGTCTCTGCATCCCTTTGTATCTAGATATTCCCATCGTAAAATGGGTTTCATATGCCCTACCGATCAAAATGTTTTGTGTAACTGTTAGTAGAGATATAGCAGGTGCTGCCCGTTAAAAAGCATCTGTGAAAAACTTCTGATATTATTATGGAAGCAATAGGCAATATTCAAATGGAGGCAACTCAACCACTTAAATAAATGTGTTTTTAATCATTAAAAAAATGTTTTGTGTAAAATGAGATCATGTACATGAAACAATTATGGAAAGAGTGAAAGAAAAGAGTGCAAGTAGAATTCAAAAGCTGGAATGATCCTTAAAGACCATCCAGCCTGGACCCCTGATTTCACAATGAAGATGTTCCACAGACAGGGTACGTGCCTCTCTCAGAGTCCCCGATCATGGAGGTGGCAGCCTTGGGGCCCAGATCCCAGATATTCTGAGTCTCATCTACGAGTCTCGTCCGCTGCTGCATTCCACTGCATCCTGGAGACGAGGGGATGGCAGTAAGAAGGACTTCTTTGGAGAATGTTATCCTGTCTCTCCAGATCATTGGAAACCCCTGGGGAAGTGTCAGATCTAGAGTGAGAAGGCTTTATGTTTGCAAGACTAGGAAGCATGGATTGAATTCAAGTATAAAAACCTTGTGTCCTTTTTCAGAAGGTTGATTTCGGAGCCCTAGTTCAACAGAGGAGTGGTGGATTATTGGGTTTCAGAAGAAAACACACAGCTTACAAACACCAAAAACAGGCCACAATCTGTCTGTCAGTGTGGCCAGAGTTCAGGGGTGCAGGCATCTCTCCAGCCCTGTGACAGCCAGTTCATCTTTCTCTTGGCCCTGGTTGCTGACCACTCAGGCACCTCCCAGATGCAGCCACCATCCCTTGGGGACCAGATGAGAGGCTGAGAGGCAGTGAAGGCCAGGGAGTCCTGGGATGGAGAAAACAGCCCTGGTGGCACCCTCCACTGGTGCTGGGTCTGGGGCGTGACCATCTGTCCCTTTGCAGAGTCCCACAGATTGTTCTAAACATTGACCTGGCCCCTACCATCCTGGACATTGCTGGGCTCGACGCACCTCCTGACATAGACGGCAAGTCTGTCCTCAAACTCCTGGACCAGGAAAAGCCAGGTAACAGGTGCGTCAGTTTTCTTCCCCTGAGCCAGCCCTGAGCACATTGGCTCCCAGAGCTGGGCAGCAGCTGGCAGAAGTAGAGGCAAAATACCCTTTGCACCTGAGGATCACCCAGAGCTGAGACTTTCTTGGCTGTTTGTGAATAGCGTATTACTGGAGATGCAGTCCCGGTGTCCTGGTCTGCGGGAAGTGAGAGGTGTTGCTTTAAATAAACTGTTAGCACAGATTCGTTTGGAAAAATGTCCAAATGCCAACAGTAAATATTATTATTTTGCTTTCAGGTTTCGAACAAACAAGAAGGCCAAAATTTGGCGTGATACATTCCTCGTGGAAAGAGGGTAATTATTGGTTCCTAGGGTGCTTCTGGGCACCAGTCCTAGTGGGCAGCTCTCCCTGCTGGGAATGTTTTTCCCCTTATTTTGGTTTACTAAGCGTGCAGATTTCATAAACTTAGTCATAAGACTGAACATTTGCGACTCATCCTTCCCTGGCCAGCAGAGTAATGATTGTTGCATCAGAATTGCAAAGATGGGACCACAGCCCTTACGTGGCTCTGGATTGACAGTTGCATTTCTCCACCTCGCTTCCTAATTGGACCAGTCAATTGACTTTCTCAACCTTCTTTCCCATCTTCTGCCTGACACGCTTTTCCTTCTTTTCCTTATGTGCCTTTACTAGTTTTGACTAGACAAATATATGAGATTGTAACTGTTCCTGAGTCACTTCTGGGTTTGCCCTTTTGATTTATAACCCCCAGTGTCCTTGTTTTCCTCCATACTTACACTGAGCGGGAGAAAAGCATTTCTATCATTGCTTTTTAACAAGAAAAGAACTTTGAGCCTGGAAAGCTAAACGTTTCTGCCCAGAGTTTTGAAATGAATGATTTTGGAGGAAATGACTCTTCCTCCCCTGACCTCTCGTCCTCATAGTTCCCAGCTTGTAATTTTTTGCAAAGGACTCGTGAAATGTGGGGTTCCTGTGGTTTTACCCTTGATATCAATTTCTTGCTGCCTGGAGAATGTGGAGTCATGTGACAGGGAAGGAAAAAGAACAGGCAGGTCTCAGCGAAGGTCATTTCAGATCCCTTCTCACAGAAGAAGCTTTTCCCTTTCTGTCAAAGGAAATTTCTACGTAAGAAGGAAGAATCCAACAAGAATATCCAACAGTCCAATCACTTGCCCAAATACGAGAGGGTCAAAGAACTGTGCCAGCAGGCCAGGTACCAGACAGCCTGTGAACAACCTGGGCAGGTGAGTGACACAGCTTTTCTGCACCATGACTCACATGCTTCTCTAATTCTAACGTAAAATATTTCCAACATGTCAAATAATGTACATTTATGTATAAAGAACTTCTCCATAGCCGTCATGGAGTACCCACTGTGACATCTTTCCCGTGACTGGGCAGTGTCTAACTGGTCCAAGCTGGGCCTTCTCATCACTGCTTGGGCTTCCTCCAACTAAAAAAGATGGTGCTGGGCTTCCCTGGTGGCGCAGTGGTTGAGAGTCCGCCTGCCGATGCAGGGGACGCGGGTTCGCGTCCCGGTCCGGGAAGATCCCACATGCCGCGGAGCGGCTGGGCCCGTGAGCCATGGCCGCTGAGCCTGCGCGTCCGGAGCCTGTGCTCCGCAGCGGGAGAAGCCGCGGCAGTGAGAGGCCCGCGTACCGCAAAAAAAAAAAAAAAAAAAAGACGGTGCCCTCAGAGACTTCCAAATATCCACCCAATTAGCCAGCATCCGTTCGAGATATCAGACATATGAAATGGATAGTCAGGTTAGAAAGATCAGAGACTGGTTCCATCTGAGGAAAAAGCTCCATCCCTGGGGCCCCTCCTAACTGGCCATCAGGAAGGGTCGAGTGGCAGCTTAATCAAGATCTTGGGTAGATGACTACGTATAAAATAGCTAACTAGTGAGAGCCTACTGTAGAGCACAGGGAACTCTACTCAGTGCTCTGTGGTGACCTAAATGGGAAGGAAATCCGAAAAAGAGGGGATATATGTATACGTATAGCTGATTCACTTTGCCAAAATCTAACACAACATTGCAAAGCAACTATACTCCAATAAAAATTAATTTAAAAAAAGAGATCTTGGGTAGATGCTGAGCCTCTGGACAGTGAATCACCCCAAGAGATTGGGTCTCCCCATGCTGACTAAGATCAGATGTCATCTAACCCAGAGAGGCGGACAGAGTCTGCGACCAAGGTTGAAGAATGAATAGGGAAGCCATATTCTGTTTGATTGTTGTTTCTACCTGTGCTCACAAAATTTCTGACATCAAATATTTCATTAGAATGAATCCTCTTCATTAATAGAAATATTACCAGGGAGTTCAGGGCTACCCAGAACACCAACTATTACCAATAAGAACTAAAGAGTTACCGTGTGATGAATTAACACAGATCTGTTTTTAAGGAAAGTGAGAACATAGGAACACAAGTTACTTTAAGCACTCTTGATGGAAATCTATGCTAGCTGGGAGAAATACACTAGGTCATGATGAGAGGGACTGAATTTCTGCCTAAGTCATTGCAATTTAGAACAAAACTGGAGGAAAGAGAAAAATAACATTTATCGAGCATTTGTCTTATGCAAGGCACTGCACCCAGAGTTTTATACACATTAGCTCAATTTAATCTTCACATCCGTTGAGTGAAGAAGGCGTAGACATCCTCATTTTACAATCTGGGGATCCATAAGTTTTCTGATTAAAACTCTGGCCTCTTGCTGCTTTCCAAGGTAAATTTCATTAACAAGGTGAAGAGAAGTTCAATTCTTCTGTGAGTCTTTTTTTTTTTTTTTAATTTATCTGACCTCTAAATAACCACACAACTAGCCAACACCAATCCAAAGTATCAGACACATGAAATAAATAGCCCCGTTATTATGAAAATGGCCTCACTCATTATACTCTATTTTTACGGCATCTAGCGTATTGAATAGATGTTCATAATGAACTACTTGACCCTCATATGCTCTGAATTTCCTCATGCCTTTTCATACACAGGAATCCCTTTGAAGTGGAAAGAGGTGAGGAGGGAGGTCTCTTGAAGGAAGGGATAAAACCAGGCCTTCATGGCACTCTGGTAAGTCAGTTTTCAAGTGCTTAGTGGAGAAGCTTAGACCTATTCATTATATTTCAATTTGAAGTCTTCAAATCCTTCTTATGGAAGCTCAAAGTATTATTATGATTAAACTCTCAGAATTGTTTTGTAGCTCTAAAATGATTTTTATGAGCCAGCTTCAATAGACTAACTTTACTTCTATTCAGGAGTTGGAAATATTCAGTGTTAAATATATCTCATGCACATTGGTGATCTTACTATTTCAGCCCTTTAAGTGGCGAGACTTATAACCCTTTGAGAATAAGATACATGGCCTACCTTTCAGTATACAGTTTTGCAAACCTATCCATATGGCTTGCGCTGAAATTTTCATATATGTCCTCAAGGGCAAATGCAGGATAAACTAGATTATTGGCACAAGCTCTTCACTCATGTGCTGAATGCCAACTATGTTAAAAACTTCACTTTGCTTTTTTATATTAATAGTTTTCTAAGCTCGTTTTGCCCCCATGAAATACTTTAATATTTGGCTCCCTGGAATTTTCCTCTGCTGCTTTATTTCTATGTTAATCAGCCTGAATTTGGATTCTATCACATAAATATATGAGAACTTCTCAAAGAGCAATCTCTTTGAGAAGTGCCTGAATTAATGGAGCAAAGAATTAGACTCTTACCAATGGTGATTTCTTTCTATAGGTGGTGCTCAAACCATAGCTTTAGAATCTGAGAACTGAGAAAATTTTGAGCCTCTTCAAGGCAGTTATTAAATCTGTAGGTCTAACTTGACATAGCTGTATTCTATAAATCTTTATATGTTGGCCTTTTGCTCTTTTATCTGGCTCCACTTTGAAGATTATCTTTTTAGTTACAATATCACTGACTTTTAGAAGAAAAGAAAAAAAGTCCAGAATAATGAGATTGTTCAGGAACAAGGCAACAGCTAAGGCTAGAGCTAACCTGCTTGGGTTTCCTTCCCTTGACATGGGATTCACACATGGCTTGTGCCCTGCTTCTCTTCCTCTAACCAAAGTGAACGGCCTTCCTTCAAAGGCAGCACCATCTTGTTTTGGTTTGACCTTCTGTGTGGTGTAGAGGAAAAATCAGCACCATTAGTCCCATTCCTTTCACTCCTACTCCCCAAAGAAACAGTGCATCTCCCCTCACCAGACCCCCGTGCCTGGTCACCGAAGGATGGTTTGGGGTCAATGTGGATGCAGGAAGTGGAGTAAATAGGAAAGAAGAATGTGAAGTTCAAAGGTTTGGCTTAGAATATTGACATCCACTACCTTTCGGTTGTGTGTTCTTGGACAAAAAGCTTAATTTCTCCTGAGTCTTGGGTTTTCTAGCTCAAGAAAGAAACTTGATCTCTGTCTTTGGAGGAGGAAGTGATATTATATATGTAAAGCGCTAGATAAGCTGTAAAGCATGTGCAACTATTGGATGTTGGGTGTTACTATTGTTCCAGGCCATCTTACCTGTTGTTTTCATTCCTGTGAAGCCAACAGGCAGTTAAAATGGGCCAGGATCCCAGACAGTTGGCATCACTTCACCACGTGAACAAAAAAACCAGCAGGGACTAATTAAGACAGCAGGGACATATGCGTTTGCATTACTTCCATGTTCCTGAATTAATACGAGGCTGAACGTGAATTCCCACCACCCTCTCAGCTGGCGTTGCACCCCCAAGCGTATTTACGTACACACTACACACACACACACACACACACACACACACACATGTATGTGTGCATGTATGCACACATGCACCCACTCATGTACAAACTCAACTTCTGTCTGAAGACTTTGGCTCAACAGAGAACAGAGATCAGTGACGCTCAGTTCTGTCTGCACATTGGAATCACCTGGGGAGCTTTCGCAAACACTGACGTACAGCCTCGCTGCAGACCAGTCAGATGAACATGTCCGCAGGTGAGGCCAAGGCATCTGTATTTTTTAACAAAGTTACAAACCACAGACCTGGAATCTGAGGATGTCAAAGTTGGAAGGAGGCTTAGAAAGCTTCTAGTCGAATGATATTCTTTTCCTAATAAGGAAATTTAGATCCAGAAAACTTAAGCCACAAACCCAGTGTCAAAACCTGCATCTCTTCACTTCATGTTCAATCTTTTCTTCCCCAGAACATGCTGCCTCTACAAAAATAGAAGACAGTAGATTTTTCTCTTTGAAATTGTAAATGGCATTTGCTACCCTGAAGCCCTCACAGCATCTTGGGTAGCAGTTCTCAACCATGACCTCACATTAGAATCACTTAGGTGGCTTTGGAAATGCCCATGTTCGAATCCCAACCCAGACACATTAAATCAGAATCTCTGAGGATGGGACCCAGGTGGCAGTGGTTTTTTTTTTCAAGCTCTTGGATGATTCCTATGAGCAGGCAAGATGGAGAACCGTTCATGTTGGGTGAGCATGATTGGGTTTGTCTTTCCTCTTCCAGGTACAGATATTGACTCCTTAAATAGGAGTTACATAAATGAGAAATTCCTGGACATTCCATTTTGAAGTACATTTTATATACTCTCTGTCATTTAAGAGGAAAAAGCAACTTGTTTTCTTTTTATAAAGCAAGTGTCATATCCTTTTGTAAAGTTGTTGAATTCCAGCATCTTTGTAATTTAGTTTGCCTTTCTACTATTGTATCAGTACAAAATAAAAAATCTGTTGAAATTCTAAAAGGACCCCAGCATCAAGCAAAGTAAATTAGAATGTAGCACGTTGAGTGTAAGCTGGTTTAGCTCCAGGATCTATGTCGTCATCCTGAAATTATCCCTCTGACCAGAGATCCCTGAGACCCTTTGTGACCAGCTACAGAGCAGGAATAACAAGACATTTGCCAGTAAGTTCTGGCTAGAATTGTTAGTGTGCCAGAAATGGGCTGCCTGTTTCCAGAAACCCACTGAGCCCTAGTTAAGATCACAGGATGGCTTGTAACCATCCACTGACCCACCTCTCCCTGCCCTGGCTCTCCTGGTTCCAGAGAAGCTGGCCAGAAAGATTGAGCCCCCAGTGCTTTGCTCTGGCTGAACTCTCATTTGCACAGGGGCCCAGTGTGGAAGGCAAGCCTCCTCCTAGCTTCAGCCTGCACTGAAGGATGAGTCTGAACAGTTGGGCATCTGCCTAGATGCTCGGCTTCTTTGCATTTTTCAAAATACAAATCGCAGGGTTAA